TAGTCCAGTCACAATAAAACCTTTTAATAATTAGGATTTCCCCCTGATTTATAGGATAACTACCACTTATGCTGGAATACAGTTCAATGCACAGAGTAAACTTTCACTGATGTCAGTGGAAGCCATGTATATCAGGGGACAGTCATCAGACAAGGGGAGGGAAAAGTACATTTCAATTAAAGAAGGTAAAGGAATATTTTGAATTCAGTTTCTTAAAAGTATGAGAATCCCAAGTCATCTCAGTTTCAGTGCATTCCACACTGGTATGGAACCAGGAACCCAAGCTTATTGAATTATATAGTTGATAAAGCACTTCAGAAGCATTCAGTATGAAAGGTGGTATGAAAATGTAAATTGTTATAACCATTGTTGGTGTTGACTGCAAATGTTGTGTATTCCCCACCCAGATTCTAATTAAAGGATTCTGTATCACCACTAATTAACAATAATGCTTTATAATTGTATAAACAGAATATATAATGGATTGGTGTGATATATAATTAATCCTTCCCTTAAGGAAAGCTTTTATAAGTCTAATCATGTGTTCTTTGAGAATAACCTGTTCATGTACTCACTTCTGAGATATACACCCCTGGCTGCTGAACCTTGGGAACCTTCTAGAAAGAAGAAAAGGAGTACTTGTGGCACCTTAGAGACTAACCAATTTATTTGAGCATGAGCTTTCGTGAGCTACAGCTCACTTCATCAGATGTTCATTGGACTGTCCCAAGTATTCTCTCACAGCCCTGAATGTTCAAAGCCCAGGCTATAAAAGGGTCATGTGGTTGCCAGCCACTGTAGCTCCACCCTTTCCACAGCTAGCTGTGAGGCTAAGTGACCTTCTCTATATGTCCAGAGATTTGTCTGTTTTTAAAACGCAACTCCTTTTTTTATTTTAGTAGTTTAGAAGATTTTAATAAGCTTCAGGTAACTTTAGACCTTTTACTTGGTATTCTATGTCATTAGGAATTTTAAAGTCCTGACACAACTCCTGCATTGGCAGGGGACCACAGTTTGGACCTCAAAAGATCCAGAAGTAAAACAAATACTCTGGTTAAAGCAGGGAACGTTGTGCCCCTCCATGTTCCTAGAGTTGGCTGCAAATGATACAACCACGGTGCAGGACGCCTTAGGAACAAGACTCCCTTCACCTTTATATCAGGGCCCTGTTCTCTTGAAGTAACAGAACTGGCTGCCATGATCTTTGAGAATGTCTTAATTAGGAAAGTGGAAGCCACAGTGACGCGGCTGCCCCCTACTAGAGGTCTTTGGAGGAGAGTGCAGATCTCTCTTCATCAAGATAGCTCCCATCTGCTGAGGGTTTCTACTTCAGATATTTCCTCAATCAGAAAAAAGAAAGACTGCCTTTGTTGCATCATGGACTTTAGGAAATTGAACAATTACATCAAGAAGTTCAAATTCTGCATGCTGACACAGGTTTCTGTTATTCTTATCCTTTTCCCCCCAAGACCATTTCAAGGCTTCTATAATGCATGATTTAAAATCTCAGTCAGACCAGCTCAGTAAAAATATTTTCACTTCATATCTCAGACCTCAAGGAAACCACATGTGCACATATCTGGCTGACTGGCTGGTTCAAGCCATGAAGGAATTTCTGATAGTAACATGTACTCCTTCTGACCCTAATACTATGGGTAATCTGGGGAAAATATCCAGAAAATATATTTAATTGGAAGAATCCTGGACCCTAAAAGCTAAGTCTTTCTTTTAAAAGAAATTACTTGTGGATATTTCCTAAACAATACTCCTCCCTGCGGGAGAGCCCAAAACCTGCATCATCAGGTTTACTCTTAATATTAATAGATCTCATGGTCTCCTCCATGTGACACCTTAAGCTTAACTACAGATGAGACCATTACTACACTGATTGGCAATGAATAACACTCCACCTGTGGATGATGTGGCAGTACTTGTTCACAGATGTTCCTATTACACTGATATAAAGGATATATTTATGCTTTAATATCAATCTAATTGATTCCACTGCTGGTCAGAAAATTAGTTCTTCAAGTGTATGACCCCTGCACTAGGATTCACACTATGGATCTGCCTTCCCTATTTCTAGTAACCTAAGGTTTAATAGAAGGAACTGAGGTGGTTGGATCTGTATGGCTCTTTTATAGCCTTGGCTCAGAGTGCTTGGAGGGCTCTTGTGCAGCCCCAATGGACACAATTTTCTAGAAAGATCCTGAAGCTCAGCAATGCTAGAGGTACCTATCTCATATGTGTATATATGCAATGGCAATACAATCAAACAACTTAGTTGCTAGTAACTAACCTTTGTTTATCAGGTCTTTCCTTTGTTTGCTGATAAATATTGTCTCCCGGTACTTGAAGTTTTACCTTACAATACAAAGGCTACCTTTGCTATCACTTCTTTACTATATTACATGCTAATTAAAAAATAATCTATAACATAGTCCATAGTGCCATCCACATTCTACACGATCACAGAAGTTAGAAATGGAAAAGACCTATTCATCCAGTTAGTCTTCCCTCAGTCAATGAAAAATTGTGCCCTACAGTTTATTCTCCAGTTATTTGTTCAGTTGGTATTAAATTACTCAAGGAACAAGGTTCCCACCTCTTCCCTTGGGAGATACTAAAACTTACTTACAGTTCCCCGCCCTTGTCTCTTTTAAGGATACCTAACATTTTCATTCCATTTAGTTTTGAAATTTAAGAGACTGCAAAGGAAATTCACATAATAAAATTTAGTTTTAAATGCAATTAAGCATTTGTGATGCAATTGTGATGTGAACGCACAAAAGCAAGGAAACACACAGTTAAAGCCGAACAATAGCATATGTGTTAGTCACAAGGTGGTGCCATCTCAGTATTACATTTTTGAGTTAACTACACATTCCTTTGTTTTTCCTAGTTTGTACCTTAATATTATGTCAGTGCACTTTTATTGTATAAAAATTAGTATTAAGGCTGGTTATTAAAGTAAGTTTTATTGCTATCACACCAACAACCACATTTACAAATAAATATTTGTTCCACAAACTAATGTATTACCTGACTGGAAATAATCATTGTCTTCCATCATTTTTTTTCTCAGTATTAGGGCTTTGTCTTCTAGTCCTTAACCTGTTATATGTATTGAATTTCTCAAAATGGAATATGCCTGTTAAAAATACATAACTTCTAGATCGGTGAGAGGTAAAATACTCTTTAAAACAGTAATATATGAAAAGTCTTTTTTCATACCACAATGCCTCTTTGACAACAGAACATTCTCAGGCTTAAAGCACAATTAGTCCAGCCACATATGAAGTGAAGACAGCATGTTCATTGACTAAGGTTTGCTCTACACTACAGACTTATTTGGTATAACTGTGTTGCTCAGGGTATGGAATATCCACACCCAAGTGATGCACTATTACCAACCTAACCCCTGGTGTAAACAGTGCTATGTTGAGAAGCATTCCTGTTGACATAGCTATCTCCTCTTGGGGACCTACACCACTAGAAGCATTTTCACTAATGCTACAGTGATGCAGCTGAATTGGTGCAGCTGTGCTGTTGAAGCACTGTATGTACAGATAAGCACTAAGCCTATGTCTACCCTACAAGCGAAGGTTGTGATTCCCCTGCTCATGTACACATACTCCTGCTAGCTCTCATCTAGCCAATGCGAGTATACACAGCGGTGTAGCTGTGTAGCACTGATAGCAACAGTAGAGGCACAGCTGAGCTGGGCTGAGGATAAGCTACCTCAAACTGGTGCTACTGCAGCTATGGATACTTCTGCTGGATGGATGAGAGCAAGCGTGACTAACTGTATAGGAGCAGGGCAGCTACACCCCTAGATTACAGTGGAGGCACTCTATGACCACTACTTGGCTAAGTCTAATGTGACTCAGTAGCATCCCTTTTAGGTAGCTAAGGAGTGGTATGGACACACTTTAGGATCATAGATACCTATATTATAAAGCCAGAAGGGAGCACAGCTCTGGCCTCCTGCAAAATACAGGCCAGAGAACTTCCCTGAATTAATTCCTGTTTTCACTGCAGCATACGTTTTAGTAAAACATCCAGTCTGCATTTAAAAATTGCCAGTGCTGGAGAATCCACCACAGCCTCTCAATGGAGTTCTGTGCCAGAGGGTGGCTGTAACACAGGGCTGTAGTTGGGATGTAAACTAGGATAAAGGGGGAGTCAGAAGTAGCCCCAGGCAAAAAGAGAAGGAAAAAAAATCCAGACTGGCCTTTCAAATAAGTTTCTGTTCAAGTGCAAATTTAAAAGGAGAAAACGGGGGGCAGCTAGTTTAGAGGAGGCCTGAGCGGGTACAAAAAAGGAGGGCCTATAAAACCAATCTTAGTGGAAAGGAAGGAGCCACACATTTCTCACTAGAGTGGAGCATAAAGGCTTCACGTGTACTGCTGAGGGGAGCCCGCTCATTTGACAAAATACTACGCCATGTACATCGAGTACTATACAGCACCACAGGCGGCCCCGGCTACTCTCCCTGAGTAGCGGCGGCCCCGGCCCTCACGCAGCCCTGCGCTCCCGCGTGCCCCTTCAGCGCCCTCGCCAGCTCTCCCAGCGCGCTGTGGCCGCAGCGGTAACAAAGACACCGAGCCATCGGACGGGCCTGCCCGGGGGCGCGATGGGGGGTGGCCTAGTCACACAGAAGGGGTAACAGCCAACCCCCAGCTCTGCACGCGCCCCGGGCCTGAGGCAGCCGGCTCCCCTCGTAACACGGCCGCCACCTCCCACTTCCTCGCTCGCCCACCCCGCCACCGGGCAACTTAAGCCGCCCGGACCACGGCTGCCACCTCCCCACAGCGCAGAGCGGCTCTCCCTACCCCCACCATAAAAAACAGACCGCTGATTGGCGGACAGTGCTGCCCTTCATGTGCCGTAGCCAATCAGCTAGGGCTAACGGAGGCAGAGTACCCAATGGGGACGCTGCGTGCCGCCCCTTGCCCGTCGCTGCCGGGCGGCTGAGGCTACGAGTTGCCATTCGGGGGCAGGCAGGGCAGCGAACAGAGCGAGTAGCGGTTGTTGCGGCTCGCGCGGGCAGGCGCACGGGGCTTGCTGCGGACCCCTCCCCCCCCATCGCCGCGAGGGGCAGCGCTATACGATGTGAACGGCTGCGGGACTCCGCAGCGCGCCCGGCGGGCGGCGATGGCCAGAGCCTGGCGCGGGAGCAGCCGCCGTCGCCGATAGGAAGCGCTGGGGTAGCCGGGCGGCGCGGAGAGTCGGTCGGGCCGTGAAGCGCTTGTCCCGTCCTGCCTGTGAGGAGCCAGCCGGGGGCAGCGCACGGAGCCTCTGCCGAGACTTGCGACCCCCGCCTGCCCGCCATGTCCTCCTCGTCCAGCTCCTCTCAGACCCCGCCCGGGCACCACCCGCCGCAGAGGATGAGGCGCGGCGCCGCTGGGTCACCCACCGCGGCGAGCGGCGCCGCCGGCAACGGTGCGACGGGAGGTGCCGCCAGCAGCGCAGGGACCAGCCGGCTGCTCCAGCCCATCCGAGCGACTGTGCCCTACCAGCTCCTGCGGGGCAGCCAGCACAGCCCGACCCGCTCCCCTTCCGCCTCGGTGGGGAGCAACACCGGGCCGGCGGGCGGCGGAGGGGGCCGCGGCAGCAGCCCGCCCAGCACGACGCCGCCGCTGGCAGCGGCTCCCCCCCCGGGAGGCGGCGTGGCGGACCCAGGGAGGGTGAAGGGCAGGCAGCGGCGCTCGCCAGAGAGCGGTGGCAGCAGGAGGAGCAGCTCACCTGAGAGACGGAGCCCCAGTTCCCCGGTGTACAGAGGTAAAGCACCCGGGGCGGAGAGAGACCGGGGGGCCGAGGCCGAAACACCACCACCTCCTGCGCCTTCCCCCCAAAGGGGGGCGTTTGAGACCCGAAATACTCCCCGCCCGAGAGAGGGACAGGGTGGGTGAATCTGATGCACCGCAAAGTGACGAGCCATGAAATAACGCCCAGGAAACTCGTCTCGAACCTGAAAATACCCCCTTGATGAGTTTCCCATGGAGATGGGGAGTGAGCCCCGAAATACCCCTTCTCCCCACTTCCTAAAGAAAGAGAGGGTCTGAGATCTGACTCAAAAGAAATTCTATTTTGTCTCCCTTCAAAAGGGAGTGATTGGTGGGGGATCAGCGCTGAATGTCATCTCCCTTTCAAGGGAGAGTGAGAAACCAAGCCTTAAAGTATTCTTTGCAGAGAGAGATTGGGGTTTAGGGCTGAAATACCACCCTGTGTTCCCAAATAGAGTGTTGAGGACAGGCCTATAAGATACACCCGCATACATGCGTACAAAAGGAGGTGCAAACAAGGCCTGAAAGGATCACTCTCACATACAAGAGGAGGTACAAATGCAACACCTAAAGTATGACACCCCCCCCCCCCCGCGCTGCCCTCCATGCAAAGAGATTTGAGCACAAGCTTTGATAACGCAAACTTGATGAGATACAGGTAGCTGCTCTAAAATATCCTATCTCAGTGCACATGGGTATAAAACACGCCCTATAAATGCATCTCGCCAAATATGCCTGGAGATAAAGAAAAGCCCTAGAATACCCCACTACTACCTCTGTATATGTACGTCCACGTGAATTGAGATGGCACAGATATAAGCTCTAAAGTAACCCCTTCCATCTCCCTGGTATTTAAAACAAACCCAACCCCTTAAACCCTTCTTTCCCCCAAATACATTTTTAACTTTAAGGTTAAAATATGAATTTTAAAATACTCCCATACACATCAAAACAAAACACAAAATTCTGATTATATAGTCTCAATAAATGCTAAAAACAAACGGCCAGACCTAAAAGATCATAAAATGCCAAAAAGAAAGAAATTAGAAAATGATAGAAACCTTAAAAATTGCAATCTAAAATACAGCCTAAAAAGCTTTAAAATAAGTACAGACTCATTATCAACAGCTCTGACATAACCTGCTTCATGTTGTCTGTTGAATTATTAAAGGTGTTAAAGTGACTGTGGCCATCTTAGTCTGTCCGTCCGTCCTCCCCCCCCCCCCCCCCCCCCCATCACTTCAGCAGTTGAATGAATCAGACTGAATGCACTTTGTATGTTACCCTGCTGCAGTTATCAGGTATCACATGTCATCTCTTCATGGGAACATTTTATGTGGCTCAACACCCCCTGCACCTCTCCCTAAGTCTCTCAATGTTTATAATTTGCCACAGAAATGAAAATAAATGTGTTTTGGTTGTCAACATGTTTTGTAGCAGTGGAATCAGTTCCCTTATTATTTTTTTTCCCCCACATATCTTTATTGGGTATGTGGTAAATTCTTGAAGTCTATTGTAGTGTTTGTGACTTGAGCTGATCTGGCTATTCAAATAGTCCTAGAATAAAGGCAACTCACTATGTAAGTATATAAACATATGACTAATAGTATTAATGTATGGAGTTGGTATACAGTATTTACCGTGAAAGCGAATACTAAATGCTTTCCATCACATCTTAGTATTTATGCCAACATTATGCAATAGATCTATGATCCTTATTTGGAAAGAGATTTGTAGGGTTACAGGGTTTTGCATGCTTTAAAATGGAAACAGTTCTTAGCAATTTTGCTTTAGTCAGGTTGTGTTTAAAAGACTGAGGTTCATTTGTTCCATTAACTCTAGGAATTTGTATATTTTTTTTTCTTGAGCTTCCTTTTTTTCCCCTTTAGAGACATACAAGTGTACAGTGTTACTCTGAATTCTGGGAAATCAAATGGGAGGTCAGCCAAAACAAAACACACTTAATTATATGCATCAAGTCTGAACATTAAAGCTGATGACAAATATTATTATAAATCAGTTCCCAGGTCTAACTTCATGATAAACATTGTAATGTTGCAGTGCGTGAGGGTCTGCACTTTAAATGGAGAGTGGAATGTGGGTAATTACCTGTAGTTGGAGAGAAATACTGCAGAGCTGTTAAGTATTTCATTAGTGTATTCATGTGGGATTTTTAATAAATTTTTGGTTGAGTAAAATTTTAATTTTACAAAGTGACGTGTTTGGAACTGTAAATTGTTGTCTTTGTCTTAATAGTTCAGACCTATAAATTAGTACTGAATGACTTCTCCATCATTAAACTTGCTTGAGCCTGCCTTATGGTAAACTGTTAGCAGCAGATAAAATTTGATACTGTTTTGTGTGTGTGTACTATATAAAATTATAAGTGGTCCATCAATATATCTGTCCATAATCTGTATGCACCCCAAGGAATTTGTCCCCCCTCCTCCAGGTTGAGCCAGCTGCTGCTGCAGAAACTGACATCCTACAGCAAATCCTGAATGAATGAATGAAAACAACGTGATCGCCCTAATAATGACCACTATTGCACACATCAACAGCTTTATTTTACAGAAATACAGGCACTATTTTCTAGAAGACTAGGGTGATAAGACTGTTTTTATAGTTTTGCGAATTAAAAGGTAAAAACAAAACAAAAAAACATTTTTACAAAATCTGGAGTGTGGCTGAGGTACCACACGGCATGAGTTTGCCTCCTAATTTCTTCAGTGGACTCTGTTATGGATCTTTAGTACATAATGTACATGAAGTAAAACTCAGTTGTAGCTTGTGTGGTGGTATCTCTACAGAGATTATAGAATGGTGTTGGAATACTACTGCAGTCATAGCAGAGGGCTTGAAACACTTCTTGCCATCAAACATGGACCATCTTACTACAGATGGTTGCACAGTTTACTCCTTTGGCTATTGTTAGCCTCTTAATCATGCCTGAGTATGACATAAGTCTTAATGAAACTATTACATTTTGTGTCATACTCTTAAAGCATTTCTCCTTTTGATGTAAACTGAAAAGTTCCCACTCTCGATGTAATCCTATTTTTTGCAGTGCAGAGATCATTTTGATTTTGGCTGTGCAGACTGACTTGCATTGTTTCAGGAGCATGCTGGTGTGGGAGACTGGCTATGCTTTTGACTGAAAAGATGGTTTTTCTCTACCTCAAACACCTGGTGTTTTTCTCAGTTTCTTTCAGTATAGATGCTTTGAATTTGATCCCCCTCTAAACGATCTTGTGTGAAATACTCCACTATTATGAGTGGGTTTCTTGAGATTTACTTCTTTTTTTTAAACCATATTCTGTAAAATTGCTTTGGGTTTGAGCCTTTTAGGGGTCAAGGCAACTGCTGCTGCTGCAGGCACTGACATCACTACTGCATGAATGAAAATGGCATGCTCCATTTCTTCCTCCCATCATCCTCTTCTCCACACACCCTCCTTTCTAGGATGTTCACAATGCTATTTATATTTCTAAAACAAGATAGCTTTTTTATGTTTAGATTTAAGATTTAACATGCCATAAAAACAACTTTATTAGGAAAACTGTGTTTTTAAAAAATGCTACCAGCATTTCTACATGATCAGTATTGAAATTGCATGGCTGAGAACTTTTGAGTTTTGTATATCTCCGTCAGATTAGCGCCCTGCCCAACCCTCCCCCCAAAAGCCCCTAATAAATGTACTTTTTTTTAATGGTACACTAGAATAATCTTGGAAATGTGCTAGTTAAACTTAAGATGAGAAAAGGAAAATACTATGTCATTAAGATGTATGTTTTTTATAACTCAAACCAGTGTTTTAGAAAATAGGTATAAAGCCCTATGGCTTGTTGAATGTAAGAATAACCCAGTTTTGTGAGGTGAGGAATGCATGCCTCAGCCTATTTAATGCAGAAATTGATATATAAGGCAACATGACTAACAACAAAAGACAGTTCAGTAGAAATTATGGCTTGAATACTATTGCGGTAAGATGTCAGTTGAGCGAACAAAATAAATGTTGCATTCTGTGTGTTCTGGAGGGTGCGTGTGTGCTTGGGGGATGGGGGGAAGCTACCAGAATTCCCCCTAGTTGGATAAGATTAGATCCTTTTTGCAGGGAAGCAAAGACCATAGCTTCTTTAAATAGTTTTTTTCATATGGCGTAAAATAGATAGATTCTATAAATTCAGTAAGTTTTTACATTTAATATGAACTGACTTCCCCTGAGGTCATAAAGTTATAGCTGCAGTTCAGATATAAACTAGTTTTGTAGAATTTTTGTCTGTTTTCATATTGAACATCTTGCATTCAGAAGAAATGCCCTGATTTGGGTTATGTTAATTATAGCGGTACCTTCTAGTGTTATAATTATCAGAAACACCAATACCTTTTACTTATGTGGTTTGTAATGTAAATCTGGTTGGGTTTTTTGGTTTGTTTTTGTGTTTTGTTTGGTTTGGTTTTTGTTTTGTTTTTCCCCCTGAAATTTCCAAAGTCAGCGTTAGCTGTAGGGACAACTTTCAAAAAATATTTTAATTGATTTAGCTGTTTAGGGAATTAAGCACTTCAAATATTTTTATAAACAACTCCTGGAGGTTTGCCAACACTAATAAGAGAAAGTAATAGCCAGGTGCTCCAGAGGAATAAATGTGTTTATCAGTTACTATACCAGAAGAGTACTGTTCATCTCTATGCACATATGAAGCTTCGGTATTTAAAAAAAAAAAAAAAAACCTTCAAAAGATTAAACTATTTGTATATCTCCTTGATTAAAGGCATCCAACAGTTTGACACAATGGAAGTTTATACCAAGGGTCCTGTTGTACCAAAAATCAAGACCTCTCCTTTATCTCTAACAAATTTAATATAGGGAAATATTTTTGTAATGAAACTTCCTACTCTGTGTTGCCCAATGTGCATGAACAATTGCAGCTTTCTCTATTATCTGTGGCCTTCTCTTTTACCCTACGCTTGCCCCTAAAAATTGCTTTTGTTGGA